CTTAGGATAGTAAGAATGTCAAAAATTTAGACTATGTTTGTTGTGGAGTTCAAATCATGACTCCATACCCATATTTGAGTATGATATTTGGTTATAATTTTTAAAAATTAATTCCACACTACTTTTGAAAACGCGTTTCAGGCGGGATTTGTATTAATTTTTTAAAATATTTTTTCACAAATATTTTACTATTTGGATACATCTAATGTGCATCTAAAAAAATAAAATAAAAAAATTGATTAAAATTTTAAAAATATTCACTAAAAATAAAAAAAAAATATGAAAAACAAAAAACTCAATTTCTAGAAAACTGAAACCAAACACACTAATTACATATATATTAAATTTTTATCTAAATTCATATTCCAAACACACTCTAAAAGTGATTGCCAAACGAAATAGCTACCGGATATAGGATAGTTGATTCAGTGGTCTACGTAACTGGTCCTTAGGATAGAAAGAATGTCAAAAATTTAGGCTGTGTTTGGTGTGTAGTTCAAATCATAACTCCACACCGATAATTGAGTATGATGTTTGGTTACAACTTTCAAAATTTAATTCCACACCACTTTTGAAAACTCGTTTTAAGGGGGATTTGAATTTTGAAATTTGACTTATCCAGTCATCATCTGAGACGTCCGGCCAATGGATGGAACAGTGCAATTTTTTATTTTATTTTTTTGTATTGTAATTGGCACTTGTTATTTTTTATATATTAAATAAAAAATATTTTTTAAATTTTTTGAATTTTATTTTTATGAACTTTGAATAGAATTTTAGATCGTGTGTTTAGTTATAAGTAATAAGTTTTTTTAATCAAATATCATATGTCACATCAATTATTTCAAACTCAATTCAAAACTCTTTTCAAAATTCATAACCAAACAAATTTTTCACACTCAAATCATAATATCAAAACTCACAAACTCAAAATACAACTCTATTCTCCAATCATAATTCTAAAACTGTTGGCTTATTTTTCCTACGAAGGAAAATATCATAAATGCGAGCGTGCCAGCAAGGATTGAAAAATCCTTACAGATTAAATTCAAGCCAATTATTAAGCGATTGTGTTGACGGTTCTTTTGCCTCAACGAAGAGGACTTCAAATTTGCCAAGTGTAGCGAAAAGAAAAAGTAAAAGAAGAAAAAGGGACGGAAAAAGATGATTGAGTGAACAATCAAAGTAATAAATACTTACCTCTACTCCTATGCTTCGAAAAGAAAGCGCATAAAATGCTTCGAAATGGAAATGCTGAAAATAAATGCTTCAAAATATAAATCTATGTTAAACTACTCCTAAGATAAGGAAAATGACAAGAAATATTGAAATCAATTGTCTTTGATTTAAGTTCTGGATTCTTTACAATGTAGCCATTAATGGCTATTTATAGAAGAAAAAATACAGTAATAACTACTTAGTAACTACTCATTTCTTCCATCTTCATTCTTATCTTACCATGTTTCCTTCCACTCATCCACTTTGTCCTCCCACTCATCCACTTTGTCCTTCATATTCTCCATTATCTCTATAACTTCTTTTAACTTCCAAATGAATAAGAGGATGCCACGTGTCCTGCAATTGTATAAATAATAAATAGTAACAAAATTGTAGATTTATGGTGCTAACATTACCCCCTGCGGCCCTTAAAAATGATGTTTACTTGAATTTTTGAAGGGCCGAACCAAGCACATGACTAATCTAAGCAATAAAATGCTTCGAATAATATTAACAAAGTGCTTCGAATGATATAATAGCACCAATGAAGTGTTTCGAATGAGTATGACATTGTGACTAGATGTCTCGAATGCTAGCTATTACGGACTAGTAACAAGCTTCGAAGGTGGTACAAAGGACCAAAATCATCTTTTGAAGGTTGAAAGTGCTGACAAAGGACGAATTACATCCTTAGAAATACTCGGCAAAGTTTCGAAGGTTCAAAACCACCATTATTGTTTCTTCGAAGCTGTTAATGCAAGATGGAGTACTTCGGAGCTTACAAAATTATGGCAAAAGAGCCTTCGAAGCAGCTTTTGGCCAACATTGTAGTTATTCACATTTTGTATGTTCTGGTTCATACATAATTAATGAAAATATTAATTTTGGGCTTCGAAGCAGTTATTAATTCTTCAAAGACACCAAAACTGTTGTTCTTCGAACCAACTTATCATGCCAAAAACAGGCATTATTCGATAACTAATTAATTGTCATTTTACATATATTTGAAGAGATGTACACATTTCGAAAGTTTTCAAAGCTTTATACAGTTTCGAAGGTGAAGTAATCAACCTTCGAAACAACTCTTGATGTTTCGAATGTATCTTCAAAGCTTTATACAGCTTCGAACGTGAAGTAATCAACTTTCGAAACAACTCTTGATGCTTCGAATGTATCTTCGATGTTTTGATTGTGTACATACAAACAACTGGCCATCAATTTGAAAAGATAAGCCATTCTCAACCATTTATTTAAATGCACAGGCTTTTTCTGACCAAATTCATGCATTTTAAATGATCATCCCTTGTTCTTAGTGCTTCGAACTCATAAGAACAATTTGTTAATTTTATTAGTCACATCATCAAAATTATATTTTGATGTGAACCACAAATCCAAAAAGGATTTTGAACATCAAAAGTCCTGGTATGGTGTGACCATGAAAATTCATACTTTTTGACATTTTGAAAAATGTCAAAAATTTTGAATTCATGAACAGTGGCTTGTTCATTATTCTTGACCATGTTTGTTTTAAAAACATGACTTTTGCCGAATATGTTTTCATAATTATTTGGCAAAGTGGGTTGTTTTTCCATGTTAGCCATTAATGGCTTATGAAAATCACCCATAGATATGTTATTTTTATGACTTAACTCTCTAAAATTTGGTTTTTGGACCCCCCGAGTCATATATGGAACATCATTCTTAGCCAAATTTGGCTCAAGAACATGCTCTTTCGTTGTGTTAATTTCATAATTTGACTCTTTTTAAACGGACTCTTGAACCCTACGAGCCATTGATGAAATCAACTCTTTACTTTTGCTATATTTAACCATGAAAAAATTCTGAAAAAAATCACCAATTCCGGCCATTAAAGCCTCAGTTAAAGACTTGGTAGTGAGAGTTGATAACTCATCATTCCATTGGCGAATTTTCATATCAAGTTGATGAATTTCTCTAATTAAATGGTGTCTTTTTTCTTCAACCAAATAATATTGTAAGGGATGAAAGTTTATTTCATCAAGAAAATGGATCTCTTCTTGAAGATCCAAAATTTCTCTTTCACGCCAATATATTTCATATTGACAAGTTCGAATAGCGAAATCCAAATAGTTTGTCATTTCTTACACTTGGCAGTCCCACCGGGCGTGTCAAAAAATGTTGGCTTATTTTTCCCACGAAGGAAAATATCATAAATGCGAGCGTGCCAGCAAGGATTGAAAAATCCTTGCAGATTAAATTCAAGCCAATTATCAAGCGATTGTGTTGACGGTTCTTTTGCCTCAACGAAGAGGACTTCAAATTTGCCAAGTGTAGCGAAAAGAAAAAGTAAAAGAAGAAAAAGGGACGGAGAAAGATGATTGAGTGAACAATCAAAGTAATAAATACTTACCTCTACTCCTATGCTTCGAAAAGAAAGTAAATATTGAAATCAATTATCTTTGATTTAAGTTCTGGATCCTTTACAATGTAGCCATTAATGGCTATTTATAGAAGAAAAAATACAGCAATAACTACTTAGTAACTACTCATTTCTTCCATCTTCATTCTTGTCTTGCCATGTGTCATTCCACTAATCTACTTTGTCCTTCCACTCATCCACTTTGTCCTTCATATTCTCCATTATCTCTATAACTTCTTTTAACTTCCAAATGAATAAGAAGATGACACGTGTCCTGCAATTATATAAATAATAAATAATAATAATAATAATTACAGATTTATAGTGCTAACAAAAACTCTACCAAATACAACCTTAGGATTCGAGTTGATGGAGCCACCCTCGTTTGAGGACTAAATATATTAACTAAAGAATAAAAAATTTACTATAAATGATTACATTATTTTTTTATATATATTTTCACAAAAAATAAAAAAATTATTAAAATAATCTAATCACAAACAGGGCTTAAAGGGCAATTTAAGAACTTGAGAAAAAGTCAATTTTTTTGACTTTTTACAAAACTCTCCCAAAACATATCAAAAAAGTCACCAAAAAATTAAAAAATTAAAAAATTGACTTTTTATTAATTTCTCAAAACACCCCCTAAATCCCTAAAAATCTATCATATAGCTAAGCCTCTGTTTGGCAAGTTGGTTCTGGGGTTTTTTTTGGCTATTTTAGCCACAAAAGACAAAATAGGCTATTTTAGCTATAACAAACAAAACATCATATCTAACCCATGAGTTGATGGAGCCACCCTCGTTTGAGGACTAAATATATTAACTAAAGAATCAAAAATTTACTATAAATTATTACATTATTTTTTTATATATATTTTCACAAAAAATAAAAAAATTATTAAAATAATCTAATCACAAACAGGGCTTAAAGGGCAATTTAAGAACTTGAGAAAAAGTCAATTTTTTTGACTTTTTACAAAATTCTCCCAAAACATATCAAAAAAGTCACCAAAAAATTAAAAAATTAAAAAATTGACTTTTTATTAATTTCTCAAAACACCCCTAAATCCCTAAAAATCTATCATATAGCCAAAAAAAAAAAGTAAAAATACGAAGCAGTTACGAACCGGAGCCGCATAGAGGAAAAACCTTGTGGCTTGAGCCGAGTAATGGCTCAGTGGAATATTCCAGAAAATAGCAAACCCTAACCCTAGACTCCTCACACACGTCGCACGTGACAGCAGAGCGTAGTGAAAAAACAAGTATAGAGAGCGCCGCAAACAATAATAACACAAGAAATACGAGTTCGCTCACGAGAACCGTCCGATCTACTGACACGTCATCAATCCGATTCTCTCAGTGATTCAACGGCTGAGATCGAGGTATTGCAGAGAGAGCCACTGGGTAGAACGAAGAAGCTCCCCTATCCCTTTCTCTCTCTCCTCCCCTGTTTTTTCCCCAAATTTCCGATTTTAATTTTTAATTTTCAATTTTCCAGAGAAAATTTTGCAGAAGATGACAATCATGGAGGAAGAGAGAGAATTCAAAGAAATTGTTGAAGATGAAGAGGAGACTGATGAGAAGGTCGATGGCGTGGAAGAGGAAGAAGATGGAGAGGATGATGATGAAGACGACGATGGTGAAGACGATGATGATGATGATGAGGATGATGATGATGATGAGGAAGACGTTGATGATGATAGAGAAGTGCTTCAGAACTCTGGTGGTCCTCCGGTTCAGTCTATAGATGACGATGAAGATGATGATGAGGACGACGATGATGAGGATGACAGTGACGACGACGGTGAGGGCGATGGTGACGATGACGACGACGATGGCGAGGGGAACGAGGGGGAAGACGATGAGGAAGTCGAAGAAGAGGTGATTTTTCTTAAACCTACCTCGTTTTTCGTAATTTTTTATTGAATACGTGTTGAATTTGTTCAGATCTGGTGGTTCGGTTGATTTTGCTTAAACCTACTCGTTTAGCTTTGTTTGTCTGTGGAAAATTTACAGGGAAAATTTTTAAAAAAATTAGTTTTGACTGTAAAAAATACTATCCTTTTTCACCTTCAAGGTGATTGGGGAGATTTGCCCTAAAAAAGTGAGTTCTTGCTCTAAAAGTTTGCCGGAAAATTAGTATAGGAACTATTTTCCATCCTACCAAACGGTTTTGCTCGGCAGATTAATCTTAAAAATTGTTTTATATGTCTATTATATTGTTTGCCGTGTAAGCTTGATTATTCCTGTTGGTTTCATAGTTCTTCGTGGGTTGCTCCCTTTTATTCTTCAGATCTGGCCATATCTGTGAATTTCTATAATCTCTGCTCTTATTTTTTTGCTGTAAGTCTCTGTCTAAGTTGACATCGCAAATATACAGTAATAAGAAGTGTAAGATATAAAGAAGACTTCTCAGATCCGAGTCAATATCGTGTTACTAGTCTTATCACTCTCTCTCTTTCTCCGTTTTTTTTTTAACTAACCTTGACGTCCACCTCTTTCTGGGTTTATTTGCTTGGTCTCTTTTTGGTTCCATGTTAGATTGTTCATTGACCTGAATGGAACACACAGCTTTAAGTTGATTCTTTGTTTTTCAATTGGTTCTTCAGAATTCTTGTTATCCTGCTTGTTTTTTTCTTTGTTTTTTTGGTTTTTTGGCTTGGTCATTTTTTATCCTTGTTTGTATGAAATAAATCGAATTATTAGTGATTTTTTTGACCAGTCATAAAGTTCTTCTATCCGGTGTGTTGATTTTGTTCTTCTTTTTTTTTTCATTTCATTTCATTTTTATTTATTTATTTTTAGTTATCTCGAAAGCTTGAATTGCCCTTTTGTGATAAAGTGGTAAGGCTTTTGTGTTTTCATCTTCATTTTATGTTTTTGGCAATTTACTTTCCTTCTACTACTATGTTATCAGCATGACGGGATATTTTTTCTGGGGAGGTAAGGATTTTAGTGTTACTAGAAGAGTATTTATATGAAACGTTATAAAAAATAATATTGAAATGGACAAATATTTGTGCATCATTTCATGGTAGTCTTAAATAGCAATTTTGGGTTGTGAAGTTCCCCTTTTAACGTCTACTAAAGTCCATGGCAGATAGGTGTTTGTGTAATTTAGGTTCTGCCACATGAAAGAAGTACTCAGCCATAGCCACCAAAATGGTGGTGAATCAGATTATTTGTAAACGACCACCTAAGATCAACTACTTGTGGTTTAATAATGGCAAAAACATCAGCACAAAAGGGTTTTCGAATTATTCCAACATTTTAACTCCAAAACTCCATAGTTGGGGCCCGCCTGACTTTTACTTCTTGAGGTCACCAAATTTGGTTACCATCATAGGTCTCTATTTAGTTTCTTAACCTTGTATTCCCGTGCCAAAAAAAGGAAAATAAAAAAGAGTTCACCTATTTTTGTTTACTCAGCCACAACAGATGGGAAAAGAACAGTAGCTGACGTGTTATGGGGCTAACTATCCTTTTTCACCTTCTTTAGCTGGTAAAACTTTAATGTTCACCCTCTTGTGTGTGTTCTACTTGTAGTTGAGAACTTTAATTGGTCAAAATCAAGGTACAAGTTTTGCTATGTTTTTGTTTTTGACATTTTTAAACATGCTTTAGATTTTTATCCAGTTTTCTGCAAGTCTCAATTAATTGTTGACTTGGACTTCTGGTGTGCACCAATCTCACAGGTGGGCCTTATCCATAAAGAAAAACAAATTAATAGGACTAGAAGATCAACAGTCTACATACATATTTATATGGGCATTGTAGTCATGCTTACTCTGACAGTTTTTACTGCAATTGCATATAGTTAAAACAAGGTTTTGCAAGAAAATGGAGGATGCTTTTCTCATGGACTCATTTTTTACATTGGAAAGGATTTTGCCATGAAGTTTAGTGTAGAATCAATTATAGATGACGTTCAGGAAAATTTATTTTTCAAGTTCTTGCACCCCAAAACAAAATTGTGGTTCTGCCCTTGGTTTTAGTTGTAATTTTTGTTATTAATGTTTTTGTGATGTCTCCAATATTGGCAATATAATTTTACAATCATTTTAATTTGTTTTCTCATGAATTCTTTGTCACTTCTTATTTGTACTGGCTTTCTTTTCTAGCCCTATGTATATAATCTCACTCACATATAAATGATCACCTAGGAGGATATGGGAACCGAATACCTTGTCCGACCAGTGGCTCGTGCTGAAGAGGAGGAAGACGCCAGTGATTTTGAACCACAAGAGAATGGCGAGGAAGAAGAGTTTGAGGAAGAGGAGGAGGAGGAGGAGGAGGATGATGATGATGATGATGCTGGTGGGAAAGTCGATGTTTCAGCAAAAAGGAAGAGGTCAGGCAAAGACGACTCTGGTGATGATGATGATGGTGGAGAGGATGATGAGAGACCATCCAAGCGATAGGGCCAGGCCTTCTTGGGTTGAAGCCAACCCTTGACATATAGGTCATTCTCTCCTCTCTCTCTCTTAAATCCATCTTACCTCTTTGTAGAAAGAAGGAATAGGATGCTTTCTTCAATGGATGCTGTTCTGCTTTCCTGTAATATCATGTTTCAGTACTATTTTATAGGGTTGGTTAAAGATCTTGAAAATGCATATAGTTTATATGGGTTTTCAAAAACTATTAAGACTTTGGTTTAGATGTGGTGTAAGGTATTGATGTTAGATAAACTCAAGCACTTCATTCTTAGGTAGGTTTTAGTGCTCCTTTTTATTCCCAGTCTGTTGGATGGTTTTAAGATACTGTGGATTTCAATATATTGTTGGGTTGTTTTTGAGATGACATGGATCTCTTTTTCTGCCATTATAATGATGATGATGATCTTGATTTAATTTCCTACTAGCATTTTCACTGGGGAGATAAAATTTAAAATTTTGATGGCAATTTTTGAAGTGATGAGATGAGTGTTTGGGTGAGGAGATTTTATTGGGTATTCATGGAGGCAAATACAGGTGGCGCTCTCAATTTGATAAAGATTAGTTTATACAGTGGAGTCCATATATGTCATTTGGTGAATGTGGAGTGTTGCTCCTAGAGAGCACAGAATAATTTTTTTCCTGGGCCATATTGGATGATTTGAGGCAATACTTGAAGCCCAACATCATTGGACAACTTTTTGAATTAGATCTAGGCACCTTGATTGTTGGGCTTTACCAAAGCTATTTGTAGCCCATCGCTTTGTTTTATCATACCAATTTGCTCCTTGTAGCCCCGGCCCAAAAGAAAAGCATTTTACCCAACCCGACATTGGTGGTCTGGGTGCCAAAGTTCTACGGGTCGGGTCTGAGTTGTACCATAATTTACCATATTACACTCCAAATAAAAGATTATTTAAAAAAAAGAAAAGAAAAAAGAAAACAAGCATATATCTCTAAGAACATGCCGGAACTGTACGGTCTCCTTACATACTCCAAAATTGGAGAAAAGGGTCCTAAGACTAAAAACTAAAATTACCTAATTTTTTTAATTCTTCTTGCTCTTTGTTTTATTATTTATAATTTTTAATTATTGTGGGACCCATTGATGCACATAATGTCGTGGTCACATGACTGGCTTTGAATTGTTTTTACAGTCTTCTCCCTCGTGGTAGAAGGGGGGCTAAAAGGGCAATAACAGAAACCCACTGCACTGTAACAGGGACTTTTTAGTACTTTAACATTTCTAGTCGACCGACTCGACCCACATATATACTTATCTTCATTTTAGTGGTTTGTATGTATTTTTTAAATTAAACTTTGCTTTATTTATTTATTGAGTACTGACAAACGGTGGTGGATGTGTGTAATTGACAGATGGCATTACCATGCTGGTGTGGGACCCTTGATCGATGATAAAGGTACGAAGAAGCTGTGAAGGGGCAAATCAACGGTGGTGGTTGTAGCCGACGGAGGCGGGATGAGAGGTGGCTCCCACCAAGCTGGCGGTGGTGGTTGGTTACTTGTTTCATTTTAAATGGTGCCAGCTCAGCATCACCATTACGCGTTATCCCTTTTTATTTCAACGGTTTTTTTAAAAATTTATATTTACAACAAATTTAAAACGAAAATTAGGTCAAGTTTGGTTATTACAAAATAATCTATTTTTTTATTTTTTTATTTTTTTTCATCACATCACTTTTTTACTTTTCTGTATATTTTTTCGTAAAAAGATAAAAAGTGCACTTATTTAGGTTATCCTAAACAACTTCTTAATCTATTAGAGTTTTTAAGGATAAATTATAAATACATCTTTTGAGATTTTGCTTAAAATACAAATTGTCTCTGTAATTTGAAAAATTAAAAATACTCCTTTATTAGAATTTTTTATTTAACAAAATGAAATTCATAATTACTTCTTCTATACAATAATAAAATTATTTAAATTATTAATAGAAATATATTTTTAATATCATTAAAAATAATTAATTGATTTGATGATTTATTAATAAAATAGACTATTTGTTATGGAATTAAAAATTTCAGAAGGTGAAATGTAATTTTTAAAATCACTGGAGACGATTTGTATTTTGATCAAATCTAAGTGTGTTTGTAATTTATCTAATTTTTTAACCATAAAACAATTAATTCCATTTGTTATAATTTTTATTTTATTTTATTGTTTTGTTTCTCCTATCCCTTCTTGCCATCGATGACAATTGTTGCAGCTATCTTTAGCCGTTGCCAACCACCTTTGGCGGCCACTTATCGAATTACCTTTGGTTACGGAAATAACTACCTTTGGCTGTCGACCAACTCCTCCCACCAACATCATTCACCTCCCGACAATCACTTGTGACAATATTTAACAATCATCAGTTAATTATAAAATTATTAAAAAAATTTAAGAATATATTAAATAAATTAATATTTAACTAATAAAACAATTTTTAATTAAGTTTAAGAAAGAAAATTTTAGGAATCGATCTCAAAGTTTTACGTTTTTGTTTGGTTGTTCTTTTTTTTTTTTTTTGGATTGGCGGAAGAAAATATTTTTCATTCTAAGGAAGTCAAACGCAACTACAAATTAAATGCTACTTACATCAAACAAAGTGAAAATAAAGTAAGAAGTACTAAGGAAGAGAGTTATGAAAATATTCAGACGTACATTTCGTACGAGCACGGTAGGGCCGATCATAAAAGTTTGGCAATAGAGCGTGTCTGAAATAAATCATAGATTCCTATCACAATGAGGATAAGCTTAACAAATTCGCACAAATGGACTTGAAGAGACCAAATAAACCTAGCAACAACTAACAGACAAATAGGAAAAGAAGAACAAGGAAATAACTCAAGACTAAAACCAAAACAACAAATCAAAAGTAAACCCACAACCAAACAAAACTAGCAGCGATGTCGACGAATCCGGCGATGGAGGCGGTGAAGACAGCAGGGAAGGCATAGATCAGTGAAGGCGTGGACCCGTGAGGCCATTTCCGGAGTGAATGGAGGGGAGAAAGCAACACCTCACAAAGGAGGGAGGGGGTGGAGAGTCAAAGCCTCCAAGTTATTGGAAAGCAAAGTGGGGAAATGAAAGAACAAAAGAGGGGTAGGGGGAGGGGAGAGGAGGCCGGAGGTCGTCGGAACCCCCTCCCTTACCGTCGGTGGCTAGAAGCTCTGAGAATCTTAGAGAAGAAAAATTTAGAGAGAGAAGCTCTCAAAACTAGAGAGAGAATAATGACTTATTTTTAAGATAGTTTTTACTGTGGTTGGCTGTTCATGTTAACCAATAAAGTGGTGAAGTACAAGTTTTACTCTCATAACCATAATATAAGTTTTAAAATTTTGATAAAAAGGCCTACCGATTTAATATATGTTTTTCGTATGTACGGTTTTCAAATTTATTTATAATAAATAAAGATTCACATTAAAAAAGACTCCATAAATTTTAAAAAAAATTTAAAGTATAATTTAAAAAAAGTACACTTTAAAAGAGGCTCTCATCAATTTGAAATAGCTTCTACAAATTTTTCTTAGTCTGAGAATAATGACTTATTTTTAAGATAGTTTTTACTGTGGTTGGCTGTTCATGTTAACCAATAAAGTGGTGAAGTACAAGTTTTACTCTCATAACCATAATATAAGTTTTAAAATTTTGATAAAAAGGCCTACCGATTTAATATATGTTTTTCGTATGTACGGTTTTCAAATTTATTTATAATAAATAAAGATTCACATTAAAAAAGACTCCATAAATTTTAAAAAAAATTTAAAATATAATTTAAAAAAAGTACACTTTAAAAGAGGCTCTCATCAATTTGAAATAGCTTCTACAAATTTTTCTTATTTAAGGGTGAATTATATTAACAGTCTTTATAGTTTGTAACTCGTGTTATTTTGGTACTTAATTTTTCAATTGTGTTATATTTTACTATGAATTTTGAATCTTATTTTAAATAAAGACAATTAAAAATATTTTCTTTATAAATGATCAATTTCAAGAGTAAAGTCGTCATATAACTTATATTGTATTAGTTAATTTGTATGTTGTTTAAAATGTAATGACCTTTTTTTTAACAAATAATGTTGAAATTTTTTTGATTATAAAGTTCTATTTGATTTGATTTTTAGAATCTATTTTCAGAAGAAACTTCTAAGAAATTAAAAATTAAATTGGTGAAAAAATTTTGAAAAACACATCATTTTTATATAATTTTATCTTTTGAGATGGTAAGAATAATTTTTTAAAATATTTTTTTTTATATTTATTTATGTTAAAATAGTTTGAATTTTTTTCAAAAGTCAAATATAGCGATAATTTTGATGTTGTTATTAAATTAATCTATTAAATCAAAAAACCTAAAACTAAAAACATTTCGAGTGTGTTTGGTTTGTGTTTTGAGATAAATTTTAAAAAAAAAAATTAGGGAGAGAGTTTAAAAAAAAATTTAGTTTGTTTTGTGTATATTTTGAAAATAGTTTTAAAGTTTGTACTGATTTGATATTTTGTTGTAATTGAGTAGATGTGTGTGAGAGAAAAAGTGATTGAAAATGAGAAATAAAAGAGAAAAAGTGATTGATGTGTAATAAAGAGAGAAGTAATTTTGAAATTTTTTTTGAGAAAATTTATAACCAAACATGTTTTTAGAAATTTTCTTCCAAAAACATATTTCAAAATACAAACCATGTTATAATTGAGTAGATGTGTGTGAGAGAAAAAGTGATTGAAAATGAGAAATAAAAGAGAAAAAGTGATTGATGTGTAATAAAGAGAAAAGTAATTTTGAAATTTTTTTTTGAGAAAATTTATAACCAAACATGTTTAAATTTTCTTCCAAATACATATTTCAAAATACAAACCAAACACATTAAAATATCGATTACACATTAAAAGCCTAATAACCATTTATTACATAATAACCATAAAAAAAATGGGCAAATTATTGATAAATCTCATTTAGAAGTGTTTTAACCCAAGAAGTCCATGAAGGAATTTTTTAACCCATTTAGTCCCACGTATTTATAATTTTATTTCATAAAGTCTTTTTTCTTGATTTACACTATTTCTCTTGAACACTTATGCCCTTATATTTAATTTTGATACCCTTATAAATAGGGCTGCAAATGAACCCAGCTGTTCGTGAACAAGCTCGGCTCGGCTCGTTAAGGGCTCGGCTCGACTCAGCTCGTTTAGTAAAACGAGCCGAGCTCGAGCTCGAATATTAGGCTCGTTTAGTAAACGAGTCAAAGCTCGAGCTCGCATGTGTCGGCTCGTTAAGCTCGGCTCGTTTATCTTTATTTAAATTATATAATAAATATATTATTTATTATTTAAATAATATATAAATATATATATAAAATAATAAA